GATAGAGATAGATAGAGAGAGAGAGAGAGAGAGAGAGAGAGAGAGATGATACAGAGAGAGAAAGAAAGAGCGACAGATAGATGGATGGATAGATAGATAGATAGATAGATAGATAGATAGATAGATAGATAGATAGACAGACAGACAAACAGATGATAGACAAACAGATAGATGAGAGAGAGAAAGAGATAGATAGATAGATAGATAGATAGATAGATAGATAGATAGATAGATAGATAGATAGATAGATAGATAGAGATAGATAGATAGATAGATAGATAGATAGATAGATAGATAGATAGATAGATAGATAGATATGGATGGATGGATGGATGGATGGATGGATGTACATACCTTCTTAAATCTTGGATGTTTTTATCCCACATGGAGCAAGTCAAGCCGAACCGTGTCTGGGCTAAATTGCCCATATAGTTTGTCCCATTCCCTCGGAAACAATCTGTGTGTTTTGGTTTAAAAGAAAAATCAAGTTAGTTAAGAGAAACCCTTGTATTATCATTGCTGCCATTTGAGATACAGAATTCTTTCCGGATATTCCTTAACTCAACTTCGAAAATGTTTACATTATAGAGTACACCTTACCTTGTTCAAGTTAATATAGCATAGAAATACAGGTCGATTGATACTTTAATAGGGCATATGTATGAATGTGTAAAAATCCATAGGCAGATGGGTTCAAGTGAGGTCAGAATAGCTGAATAACAGAGTTGGAAGGGACCCTGGAGGTCTTCTAGTCTAACCTCCTGCTTAGGCAAGAAAGACTAGACCATTTCAGACAAGTGGCTGTCCAATCTCTTCTTAAAAACCTCCAGTGATGGAGAAGGAAGGGAGGGAGGGAGGGAGGAAGGAAGGATAACAAAATAACAGAATAACAGAATTTGAAGGGACCTTGGAGGTCTTCTAGTCCAACCCCCTGCTCAGGCAGGAAACCCCATACCATTTCAGACAAAGGGTTGTCCAATCTTCTCTTAAAAACCTCCAGTGATGGAGCAGCCACAACTTCTGGAGGCAAGTTGTTCCACTGGTTAATTGTTCTCACTGTCAGGAAATCCCTCCTTAGTTCCATAGTCATGTATTCCATATTTAATGACTGAATATGTTATGTGACTCGACAGGATAACTGTCTTTTATGCAGCACATAAAAAAACAGCATTTTTCTGACAATTGAAGCTGCATTTCTGATGGCCAAGTCAAATCTTGATTTGATCCTGCAATTTCCAGCTCCTTAAACCTGCATCTTTGTCTCAATCATGCTGAGTGCCTTTGTCTTACACAGAATATAGAACTTCGAATAATGGGGCTGAAAGGGACTTTGGAGGTCTTCTAATCCAAATCCTTCACTCAAGAAGGAAACCATAAACAATTCAGGACAAAGGATTATCCAATCTCTTCTTAAAAACCTTTCTAGAACTTTCAAGAAGAGACTGGACTGCCATTTGTCAGAAATGGTGAAGAGTCTCCCGCTTGGGCGGCGTGGGGGGTTGACTAGATCAGGGGTCGCCAACCTTTTGGACCTCAGGGACCACCAAACTCATAATTTTAAATCCCATGGACCAGAGACCCTAGGAAAATCCCCCCAAAAGGTCTGCAGGAAAATCCCCCACCCCGTTTTCCTACCCATCGATCATTCTTAATTTGGGATTGCAGGATACTGTCTCCAGCTCCATTCTCAGGGGGAGAGAGAGAGACTTTTGGCTTCATGCAAGGAAAGCAGCAGAAGCAGCAGAAGTCTTTACTTCTCTCCCCCAAACTTCGCCAGAAATGAGTCTTTGCCGGCACAGCCTCTTGGAGCAGGAGGTCTTGCAGGGTCCCAAAGACTCATTTCTGGAAGAGTTGAGGGAGAGAAGAAAGACTTTTGCTGCTTTCCTTGCATGCAGCCAAAAGCAGAAGAAGAAAGAAGCAGAGAGAAGCAGCCCAGTGGCCAGGCCAGGCACATTGGGTGAGTGGGGCAAGTTCTCCCCCTCTGACCTTCTCCCTTCACTACTTCATGTTGTTCACAATGCAAACACCACAAGCCTTATGTTCCCACGCAGCCTGGATTAATTGCTTTGGAGGTGACATTTCTCTGCGGACCACCAAAATTTTCTCCCAGGTTGGTGACCACTGGACTAGATGACCTACAAGGTCCCTTCTAACTCTGATTATCTGTTATCTGTTACCTCCAGCATTGCAGTGCCTGCTACTTCTGGAGACAAGTCATCCGACTGATTAATTGTTCTAGTTGATGAATAGGTCTGGAGCTCAATAAATATGTCCCAAGATATTAAATAAACAATCCAGGAATAAGTAAGTGACTTCTTCTTGCCATCTCCTGCAGATAGGCTGGAGATGTTTCAGTTTAAATGGTAATTCTGCTGACTGTGAACTTGACAAGGTCAGCCAATGCATTAACGTATTTGAAATCTGCCAGCGTATCTTCAGCACTGCAGTTTAAATCCAGATGTTCTCAGCACGCTGCAGCAGAAACGGAGGGTTTTTCAGTTTGTAGGAGTGCCTTTGCTTATTTGTTAAAACCCAGAGACCACCAGCTAGATAAAAGAATCCCTTGAGTCAACTTTGGCTCTTGATGGCTTTGTAGGCAGGTCTACGAAGCTTTCTTGGCAACACTCCAGAAGTGAATTACCCATGCCTCCTTCCACAATTTTTTATTTTTAAAAATGTTACTTTGGGTTTGGGGTTTTAGGATCTCCCCTGAAAGTAGCTAGGTCTAACTCTGCTTAACTTTTTCAACATCAGTCAAGATTTGGGTAAATGCTGCCATCAGCTATAACTAAAAAAAATAAAGATTCTATAAAGTTTCTCAAACTTGGGAACTTGAAGCATTCCTCAGGATGCTGGCTGGGAAATTCTTGGAGCTGAGATTTACACATCTTAAATTTGCCAACTAAAGGACTACTCCTTCCTTTCTTCCTTCCTTCCAAAATAAAATGCAGATTGAAAACTTTTCTAAACTAAAAGCATGATCCTCCTTCCTTCCTTCCTTCCTTCCTTCCTTCCTTCCTTCCTTCCTTCCTTCCTTCCTTCCTTCCTTCCTTCTTTCCCTTCCCTTCCCTTCCCTTCCCTTCCCTTCCAAAATAAAATGCAGATTGAAAATTTTTCTAATCTAAAAGCATGGTCTTCCTTCCTTCCTTCCTTCCTTCCTTCCTTCCTTCCTTCCTTCCTTCCTTCCTTCCTTCCTTCCTTCCTTCCTTCCTTCTTCCCTTTCTCATTCTTCTTCCTTCCTTCCTTCTTCCCTTTCTCATTCTTCTTCCTATAGTGGTTATAATGCAGTATGCAGGCTAACTTTGCCCTGCTGTTAGGAGTTCGATCCTATCTGGCTTAGGGTCAACTCAGCCTTCTGTCCTTCTGAGGTCAGTAAAATGAGGACTCAGATTATCTGGGGCAATAAGATGACTCTGTAAACTGCTTAGAGAAGGCTGTAAAACATTGTGAAGTGGTATATAAGTGGTATTGTTATCCCTCCCTCCCTTTCCCCCCTCTTATTCTCTTTCTCATTCTCCTTCCTGGTGGCACAATAGTTAGAATGCAGCATTGCAGTCTAATTCTGCCCACTGCCAGCAGTTCGATCCTGACCGGCTCAAGGTTGACTCAACCTTCCATCCTTCCATCCTTCCGAGGTCGGTAAAATGAGGAGCCAGATTGTGGGGGGCAATAGGCTGATTTTGTAAACCACTTAGAGAGGGCTATAAAAGAACTGTGAAGTGGTATATAAGTCTAAATGCTATTCTTATTATTTTAATTTTTTTCTTATCTACGTAGCAGCTGTTACCTTTTTCAGTGGATGTATTGCATTTTGGTATTTGGGAACAATCTCCAATCCGAATATTTGGATTGGTCGTAAAACACCAGGGTACCTCAGCTCCATCTGGGTTTCGGCAATAGTTCTCTCTCAAATCCCTGCAAAATAATAATGATAATAATAAGACAATAAATGTGCTAACATATGTCTGGCAAACTGCTGTGTTTCTTCCTCATAAGCAAGAACATTTATTTGATAACCATGTCACTAATTTGGTTCTGCAGAAAAAAATGAATGTGTTAAAACAACAATAGCAAGTGCACACACACACACACATTTTTGTAAAACAGGAAATTCCAGATGCTAGACAGCTACTAAAATTATTTCAATTTGTAGTAATCTGAGCTTTGGCAACATTGACAGAAATAGTTCCATTTCATACATTCGTAATCAGAAACTGTAAAACCAGTGCTGCCCAAGATGCTTGCTTTAAAAAAAAGGTTTCTGTCTGAGATCTGTATCCCATCTGACTCTTAATAGATGAGGATTTTATTTTACTTTATTAGTTTTTTACAAGTAACTCAAGGCGGTGAACACTTCCAATATTCTTCCTCCTCCTGTTTTCCTCACAACAACAACCATGTGAGGTGGATTGGGTGGAGAGAGAGAGAGAGGGAGTGGCCCAAAGTCACGCAGCTGGCTTTCATAGCTAAGGCAGGATTAGAACTCACAGTCACCTCTGATTGGTTCAAAGCTATCTAGTTGGCTTTCATGTCTTAGGCGGGACTAGAATTTGTGGTTTCCTGATATTTAGTCAGGTGCCTTACCCACTAGACCACACTGGCTTTGTAAGATAGATAGATAGATGATAGATGATAGATGATAGATGATAGATGATAGATGATAGATAGATAGATAGATAGATAGATAGATAGATAGATAGATAGAT